CCCCCGCCCCCGCCCCCGCCCCCCCCTTCCCCCGCCCTCGCCATATTTCTGGCCCCGACGCAGCCAGTCAGCTGGTGCGTTACTGCGATGGTTGCACCCTCCGCGTCCACGCCTTGATGGTGAAGATTCGGTTAGGTACAGACTTTACGGGTCTCAATGCACCACTCCTTGCGTTGTGGCAACTCGGTGTACCTGTTGATCACGTGTTTTCTTGCGACAAGGATCCGGCGGTCCAGCGCTTCAACGCCGCTGCGATGCCCGCCCAGCATCTATACGACGACATCGAGCAGAGAGACCACTCGCTTGTTCCAGAAGTAGACTACTACCATTTCTCCCCGCCGTGCCAGTCGTTCTCTGCCGAAGGAGTTGCGGGCCGACCTGTCGAAGGAGACGATGCACGCGACACGTTGTTTCGGCACAGCTTGGCATACATTGCGAATCGCACCCCGAAGCTTGTGACGTACGAGATGGTGCCAAACATCAAGATCAAGCAGCACAGGTGGGTGATGCGAGAGATCAAGGCCGAGTTGGAGGCGCTCCGCTACACCGTGCAAGTGAAGACGCTACACTGCGAAGATCATGGTGTCCCCCATCATCGGCACAGGTTGTTCATGGTCGCGTGCCGCGACGGGTGGGCGAAGCCGTTCACGTGGCCGAAGCCTGTCGGCTTCAAGAGGACCTTGGCTGAGATCCTGGTGGCATCGCCGTCAGACGACCCGAAGGCACTCCCCCCCAAAAGGAGCTAAAGGAGACCAACGGCGCAGGGCCCTTGTTAAGACTAAGTATAGAGCCCACCTGAAAGAGAAGATCAACCCGGCCAAGACGATCGTCATCACGGACATTGGACGCAGCCTCTCGCGCGGCAACTCGAGCACCAACTTGACCATTGAGGGCCTCTTCCCGTGCACTACGAATCGTCGAGCAAATGCATTGGACTATTGGATCTCGGTGCGCGGCCGACGCGTCACGCTCCCAGAACTGTTTGAGCTCTCTGGCATCGACTGCGATTTGCAGGAGAAGCTGGCTGCGTGGTCGAGCTGCAAAACAAAAGTGTCAGCCGGGCAGATGGGGGCGATGATCGGCAACACGATCCCAGTGAACATCATGGAACGGGTGCTTCAGAAGGCCTTGTGGGCGTCTGGATTGGCGACCCGCCGCTTGCCAGATAGGTACAACCAGAAGAAGACGAAGGTAAAGCAGATCGGTTGCTAGCGGCGGGCGTCCGCCCGCAGGTCGGCAGGCCGCGCGGGCCGTCAACAGCGACGGCGCTGCCATCGGGCCAGTTTTTTTAGCGAAGATAACGATCACACGCGCTCGCTCTGCGTGTTTTGCCCTGCGTCTTCACATCCACCTCCTCCGCCCCCCCCCTCACTCTCACCCCCCCCCCCCCCCCCCCCCCCCCCCCCTCCCCCCTCCCGCTCCGCCCTCCCCCCCCCCTCCGTTCCCACCCTCCCTCCTCGCCTCCCCCCCCTCCGCCTTCCGTGGCCGGTCCTTCTCCGTTCCCCCCCCCCCTTCCCACTGCCCTCCCAAAAAAATCCTGAGTATCCCCCTTCCTCGGCTTTCCCCGAAACTGCAGCGACCCAAACCTCGCGCGCATGCTTCATCGCCCTGCCCTGCCTCTTGCCCAGATCAACCCATAGCCCTGCCCTGCGATCCGAAAAGCCAGGCAAATGGCGGGCTTCGAACAGGGCCTCGCCGTCGAGGGGGCGACTACTTGACCTCTCATGTCCGGCGGACGGCGGCGGAAGGCCAGCGGAGGCTGGCGGAAGCAAAATATATCCCGCCCCTCCATCCCCCCCCAGAGATGTCAACAACGTTTTTGGACCCGGGTCGTCCCGCGGTGCCCATGTCGACACTCCTCTCGATGTCGCGAGCGCTGGATTGCAGGGATGATGGGCGGCCCTTGGGACCTTAATTTTCGGGCAAACGTCATCGGGCTCCAAATCAATTTGGCGCACGCTCAGGCATCGGGGAAATTTGGGCCGAGTGGCGCAACTACTACTACTACCACCGTTGCCGGGGGACCAACTTCTGGACAACCTTCTCTTCTGGGGTACGTGGGCGCGTTGGCTGATTTGGACCTCGGGGGCCACGCGGATAGACCCCGGCACGCTGGGGCGCCCTGGGAGGCTGGAGGCGTTGCGGAGTGCGTTCCGGGAGAGAGTCTCCGGAACGCTTTGACACAAAACCAACCGAAATCGAGCGTGTCCAGAAGTTGCGTCCGTTCACGCGGCCCGCCCTGCCGCCCGCATCCCTCATTCCTTCTGCGCCCTCATTGCCCTTTTTGTCTCCCCGGTCACAGACCGCCAACGTAACTATCATCGCAGCCAACCTAACTCAGCAGGGCGAGGCCGCCGGCGGGCGACCTTGCAGGCGGCCCCCCCCGACTGCGCGCCAGCCGCGCTGTCGATGAGCCCAAAGAAACGATCCGCCACCGATGCCGGCGCCTCCGCGGCGAAGAGGCCCAAGGCGAAGGCCACGTCGACGCCCCTCTCTGCTGACCCCGCCGAGTCGCCGCACGACGAGCAGACGACGGCGGTGCCCGAGCTGTCAGGCGTGAACGCAGATTACTTCACTCATGTGCAGAAGCGGCTGGCCACCATCAAGCAGCACGTCGTGTTGCAGACGGCGTTCGCAGACAGCGTGGAGCCGGTCGCTGTTAGCGATGGCGCGGTGGTCCCCCCGATCGACATCGGCGTTGTCGCGAAGAAGCTCGAGTCGATGGGCGCCAACATCGAGGGGGCGACGGTCGTCGGCACTGGTTCCGTCCCTCTCGCATGGATCGACACGCTGATGAACCCCACGCCAGGTGTCCAGATCAACATGAGCGACGTGGACCTGTTCATCAAGCGCGACTTCAAGAAAACGTCGGCGCTGCCTTCTAAGCTGCGCACGATTGCCATTGCACTGACGGAACTCTCTACCGAGCCGTTCGTGGCAAAGAAGTTGCAGAGTTTGAGCGCTTTCGAGAAATTACACGCCCCCATCAAGGCCTGCGCCGATGAAGTGGACACTGGCACGATGACGGATGCCCGGGCCCGGGACTGGTTGAAGCTTTTCCGCCAGGCTTCGGAAGCGGAAAAGAGGGGTGTGATGACTAGGGGGGGGGGGGATTTCATGGCGCGGGCCATGATTTTTCTTCAGATTTCATGGCGCCCTCTTCTTATTTCCAATACGCCCAGGCCCCCCGCCCCCCGCTGGGCCGCGACATGCCTGACTAACTAAAAAACAAAAAAAACCAAAAACAAAAAATAAAAAATAACAATTAATATAAAACCCAAACAGGAGGAAACACCTAACGACCCTCATTCCATCCCCCAAATACACCACCCCAAATCAAACAAATCTCCACAACACCCCCACAAAACCACCCATCTCATAAAATGAGAGATATACCTCCCACCACTCCCTATCCAACCCCGGCTCCCCCCTCCACGGTCCTCCCAACCTCCTCACCCGTGTCCCCCCCTCCCCCCCTACCCTAAACCCCCCAACTCCTCCATCCTGCCCCCCCTGCCCCTCTAACCCACCACCCCCTTCCCCTGTCCCCTATGGCCACTCGCAGTGATCTGCCCCCCCCCCCGTACCCTCGACCTACTTGGACCCCTCCGCTGCAACGGATCCAAATTGTGATACGAGAGAAGTACATGCTGAAACTAGCAACGGGTAAGGATCCCACAGAGAAGCAGTTGGAGACGCACTTCGAGAAGAAAGTTCACCTGGCTGCCAAGAGCGAGAAGCTGTCCTCTTCGTTTATCGACATTGCGAATACTGTCCAAGAAAGAGCCCTTCGCCACAAGGGCATCGCGGAGACCATCAACACTCTGGACCGCCACTACAAGCACGCTGGACCGACATTTGGGATTGGGAAGTTCCAGATCGTGATCAACAGGTGCAAGACTGCCCTCAACATCGAGTGGTGCTACAACTACTTGTTGGACGCACTATCGATGGAGTTCATTGAGCTTTCCGATTGCAGCATCTCCAAAATGAACACGTGGATCTGCGACCTCGCCCTGATTAAGTTGAGCAGCAGGGATTACTTCCTCAATCAGTGGGCCCACAGCAACGCGTTCACGGCTGAAGAGATCGGTTGGTGCAGGAACGCGTTCGCCAGCCACGAGTCGGCGCGGGTGACCTTGACGAACTGCCCAGGTGCATCGTCGGTCGACATTTCTAGCCTTTACGTGAGCGGCGCAGGCACGAAGCGGCGCAATGCCTTTCGGTTGGCCGTCGCTTTCTGGGAGAAGATTGTGTTCGGGAACGACTTCGACACCGCCTTGAAAACGGCGGCGAAGAACGCCAAGGGGCCTGAGGAATATCTTGCTGAATACACGGCGTTCGAGGAAGACCTGACGGAGCTAAAGGAGGAGTTGAAGAAGGAGCAGCAGCAGGCGATCGCCATGGACCCCGATGGAGCGGCAGCAACGCCGATGCATGGCGAGGCGGCCGCCAGCCGCACCGGCGACCACCAGGTGGAGGAGAGTGGCCCGACAACGCAGGTCTACGCCATCAACGAGTTCATCACCAAGAAGATCCCGACGGATGTCACCGACCCGAGGGCTGATGAATGCAAGAAGTACTTGGGCATGGCCGAGCGCATCGCGCGGTCGCTCACCAGGGTCGTCACCATACCGGCGAACATGGCCACCATGATCGAGAATATCAAGTCAAGCGCGATGGCCATGGCTAAAGGAGATACGCTGGCCCTCCCGGGTGCTCCGCTACCCTCTCGCTGCTGCGGTGTTTGAGCCTGCGAGCTTGAACTTTCACGCTGATCGTCCTCTCCATTTTTCTCCCCCTCCTCCTCCTCACCTCCTCCTCCTCCTCCTCCTCCTCCTTCTTATTGTCCTCCTTCAGATCCCCCCTCTCTCTCGCCCCATCTCGTCGTCTTGTCGTCGTCGCAACGACGCCCTCCTCGCCGCTGCCCGGCCGCCGCGCGCTCCTCGTCGTGGGCCACGGCGATCGGTCCTCCGGGCCGCGGGGGAAGGCCGTTCGAGCAGGGGGCGGGGAAAGGGGGGAAGGGGGGGCGGGGGGACAGACGACGAATGAGGAGGGAAGACGAGGAAGAAGGACGGAACGAGGAATGAGACGGACGGCAATTTGTATCTAAATTAAAAAAGTGGGTTGGATGATTGATTTCCGTCTATGGCTCTCCTGGGCCGCGGCCCCGTCTGGAGAGGGGGAGGGGGGGGCGCTTCCGGGGCCCTCCAAGCTTTCCCCCGGGGCCGCGTCGGAGATCTTGGAGAGGTCCGAGAAGCTGACTCTGGGGTGGCGCCGGAGGGCATTGCACCTGCTCGCTCGCAATCAGATTGCGGGGATGTCTTGAGCGTTGGACAGTGGCCTACTCGAATCCACTTCAATAGTAATATCTTAGTAGTGCCCAGCAACGAACTTCGAGGCGCGCACGGTGCCAAGCTACATTACCGAAAAAGACCAACGAGACGGTTCCAGCGGAGCCCCGATCGAGGCCCCGTAGGGTTTCAAGACGCGACCGGGGGCAGGGGGAGGGCACGATAGGAGGCCCATGAGGCCCCGCGCCCAGGAACCCCCCAGCTCCACGCGAACCCCGAATGATCCAGGCAATGCGTCGAGGATGAGGGATGACGATGTCGATTGTGATGGACGTTCTGCGGCGACGAAACGATGTCGCAGTTGCGGCGAGGCATCCCGGAGTTCTCGCGGGTGCTCCTGGCGAAGGTGCTCGCGCGTCGCGGGAGACACCCAGGCTGGCAGGCGGCCGCCCTACTGCTGGCCGAGCCTCCAGAGCTGTGCGACCGACGCGCCAGCCCCCTCATTCCGCGCGTGGCACGCCGAAGGTCACCGCGGCGTTGCTGCTGGTGCATCCTTTGATCTTGGCCAGGCACGAGGGGCAATAGAAGACGTACGAAGCGAACATCGTCCTACCAGCGATCGGGTAGAGCTCCCCCTCGTCTTTGGGCACCCGTTTGACGCACATGTTGCACTGGACATTGTGCTCAGCTGGCGGCGTCCACCACAGTTGATCCTTCCTCAGGTCGCCCCTGTAGGACTCCAACTTGACGACGGAGTCCTTACTCCTGATGAGCAGGCCAATGTCCTCCTCCACCATCATGTGCGTCGCCGACGACGACGACGAGCTGTTCTTCTTCTTCTCACCGCTGCGCAGAATGCCGGTCGGCTTAGGGCCGCGCAACAGGAGGCTGGGTCCGTGAAGCGGGGCCACCCGCCTCCTTGTTGTTGCTGCCGTCGGCGCTGCTGGCGGCAGTTGCTCGGCCGCCGGCGGCGGCGGGGGGGGCCCCGGCGGGGGGGGCTTCGGCGCTGTCGGCAGCTGTTGGGCCGGTGCCGGCGGCGCCGGTGGCATGGCCGGCGTCGCCGCTGGCGGTGGCGGGGCGGGTGGCGGCGGCGGCGGGGGCGGCGGCGCCGCGGGCTCGGTCCTGTAGGGCGACGAAATCTATACATAATATCCACTGCTCCCTGGCCAGGCCCAGTCTGGACCCAGCAGCGGTGTACGCGTCGCGCCCCCCTGGCTCGGCCAGGAGGGCGTATGCGCAGCTCCCAGGTTCAGGCTGGGCCTGGCCGGAGACAGTGGATATGTATAGATTTCGTCGCCCGATCCTCCTCGTGCCCGGCGGCGGCGGAGGCGGCGCCCGCGCGCTGCAGCCCTCGCTGTCGGAAGCAGACACCAACTCGGAGCTCGTACTTCATGCCAAGAACGACAACTCGGAGCTCGAAGAAGAAGATGACGACGACGAAGAAGAAGACGATGACGACAACGACCTCCTCTTCTTCTTCTTCTGCTTGATCTTCTTGGCTGGTGGTGGCGCCGCCGCGTCGTCGTCGCTCTTCATGTACTGGCTGAAGGCTCTTAGTGCGCCAGTGTGCTGGCCCTTGCTGTACTGGTACATCTCCTTCACGTTGTCAATGAAGTCGTTGCGCTGCGCCTTTGCAACTGCTTCGGTGAAAGATTCGAGTTGCGAAACCTCGTCCTTCATGATGGCCCTGACGAATAGCTTGTAGCGCTTCGTAGTCTTCAGGGCGAACTTGTTGCCATTCAGCATCCACTGTTCGAAGCCGTCCAACGCCTCCTCAAGGTCCCGGAGAGCCCGTCGCCTCGCCATGCGAGCAGCACCTTCTAAGAAGAGGAAGGCCTAAGGGCGCGGCGCAATCCACGCTGCTCGATCCAGCCAAAATGGCTTCGGAAAGCCCGACAAGGCCTGAACGCCAAACCTATTCAAACACGTAATGTTGGCCTCTCGGGGCCCGAGACTTCTTGGAGGCATCTTGGAACGTATTCGAAGCCTCTTGGGCTGCCGCGGGGCCATCTTGGGCATCTCGGAGCGATGGTTTGACGCGTCGGCCCTTCTTGGGCCGTCTTGGGGGCCTCATGATCATGAGGCCTTCTTAGCTCGTCGCGGGGCCCTCTTGTGCCCGAACAAAACTAGCCTGGCGAAAGACCCAACCATATGCAAGTGCGAATGCCGCAGGCAGGTGGGGCGAATGAGAGGGGGAGGGGTGTCACGAAACGTGAGGGGTGCGGCGACATGTGGCGCTGACGCATGCGAACTGCGCCACTGGGGCCTTCGGTGAAGCTCAATATTATGGGGCCTCGGAAGCATGCGGGCGCCTCTGGGGCCTTCGGAAGCACGCGGGCGCCCCTGCTGAGGCCTTCGGTGGGGCTCCCTACTTTGTGGGCGTTGCAAGTTAGCTAGTTGTAAGTATATTTATAAACCATGCAACTTAACTTATAACCCATGCAACTGAGCTTATAACCCATGTAACTAGATAGATATTGTTATAACTGGGGCGCGCAGTTATAAATAGTTGCATGGGTTAGGATTCGTTTCGGGGGAGGCCTAACTACTTATGCCCACACGCGTAACCTAAGTTGCGCGTCTTCTGCTAACTGGCGCTGCCAGTTACAATTGATTTAGCCTCGTGAGCCGCCAAGCGCAGCAGCTTGTGCCGAGATCGTAAGTCGTTACCCTAGTTACGAAAAAGTTAACATCAGTTACAAACAAGTTATGTTAAGTTACAAAACAGTTATGTTAAGTTATCTTGAGAATTTCTGAAGTCATGTTAAGCTATCTTGGGCCCCTCTTGAGCCTTGTTAAAGAGTGTGCCCCGTCGGAAAAGCATTCGGGGAGGATTCCGTCCACCCGTCCCCCAACCTCCCCTAATCTACGTATTTCGTCGCTTCTATACTTTTCTACGGCGTAATTGCGCGGAGCGGGCGGCGAACAGCATTTCGCGCAGCATTGGGGAGAGAGGGATTGATAGCATTATAGTTGAATAACTTGCGGAGAGGCTGCGGCGCGAACAGCATCCACCAACAGCATCTGGGGTGAGATATTAGCACTCATATTGCGTAACTGTAGAGAGGGTTTATTTTTGAGGGGAGGGTGGGAGGGGGAGGAGGGGGGAGAGGGGGGGAGGAGGGGGAGGGGGAGAAGGGGAGTGGGGGGGAGGGAGGGGGCCCCTCCTCCTTTCCCCCTTCCATCCCTCCCCCTCCTCCTTCTCCCTCCTCCTTCCCCCTCCTTCCCCCGCCCCCCCCCTCCTCCTTCCGCCCGAGGTGCACTTCAGGTGCGTGTTGTTCCGCCAAGTGGACTCGCCGCGACCCACCCGCGCCCGCGAAGGCGACCCGCCTGCGACCCACCCAGGGGAGGAGGATAAGGAGGAGGGGGGAGAGGGAGCACGCCGACCCCCGCCAGCCCCGAGACTGCCCGGGCCCCCCGCCCCCCCCCCCCCCCCCCTCCCCGCCCCCAAGCACCCCCCCCCCCGGCCGAGCCCCCCCCCGCACGCCCCCCCCCCATCTGCGGCCCGGGACGGCCCCCCCCCCCCCCCGGCCCCCACAACCCGCCGCCGCCGCCGCAGCCGACTCGTCGTCGTCGCCGCGCCGCCGTCTCCGTCGGTCGTCGTCGCCGCCGCTTCTTGCCGTCGCGAGGCCTCCGCCCGCCGTCCGTCGCCGCCGCCGCGACGCCCGCCAGTGTCAGTTCGTTGTCGTCCGTCGTCGCGTCGTGTCGACGTCGTCGTTCGTCGTCGTCGTCGCATTTCGTGATTCGTCGTCGTCGTCGTCGTCATCGTCGCCGCCGCCGCCGCCGACGCCGACGACGTCGAGCCCGGGGACCTCGGCGTGACGGCGAAGGCCGCGCGCCGCCGCCCCGGGGGGCCCTCCTCCTCCTGCTGCTCCTGCTGCTGCTGCTGCTCCTCCTCCTCCTCCTCCTCCTCCTCCTCCTCCTCGTCCTCCTCCCCATCCCGCCATTCCCCTCCCTCCTCCCCCTCCTAGCTCCTCCCCCCGACGACCCCGACGACAGCGACGACGCCGACGACGACGACGGCGGCGACAGCTTAGCATGAAGGAAACGGGTCCCGCGGGAAACGGGTCCTGGACCCCCGGGGGCTTCCCCCAGGACCAGTTCTTCATCCTGAGTCGTTTCCTGACACGCTCGGGGCCCGGGGAGGGCCTCAGGAGGCCGAAAACGGCGAAAACACTCAGGACCCCTTTCCCTCAGGACCCCTTTCCTTCATGGCGAACAGCGGCGGCGGCGACGACGACGGCGGCGGCGGCGGCGCGGGGTGCAAGCGCGCGCGGGCGCAAGCACGCGCGGGCGCAAGCACGCGCGGGTGCAAGCACGCGCGAGTGCGAGCACGCGCGGGGCACGACGACGACGACGACCGCCGCCGCCGCCGCCTCCTCCTCCCCCAACCCCGCACTTATTATTCGATACGAATACTACTCTCCTCTCCACGATGTTTGGGGTCCACCATGTTTGGGGTCCACGACGCTGTTTGATGTCCACCGCGCTGTCTCAGGGATGTCTGTTTGTTATCGCGGTCGAACTGGAGGTTAACATACTCTAGCGTCCGAGGGGATCCTTCGGGTGCATTCCGAGGTGATCCTTCCTTATCCGAGGTGATCCTTCGGCGTCAAAGCCGACGCGCCTATACATCAAATCCTTCTGGGGCCAGAGCGCGGCGAGCCGACTATACCATGCCCGCGGGGCCGCTCGCGCAGCAGGATGAGTTGCGTCAACTGTATCATTCAAATCCCCATCCTCCCCTCCTCCTATCCTTCCCTCATCCTATCCTCCCCTCCTCCTTATACGGTCCCTCCCGATATATAAAATAGAACTTGCCATAGCTCAAGCAACTTTGCAATGCTTGAGCACTCGGGCCCACGTGGCCTTGGCCTCTGCAACAGTGTTGCCCTTAAAACTGAAGGGGTTGTCGGTGCGGATGCCGTTCTTCTTGGCCCTCCAGGCCTGCTTAGTCACATCTGTATAGACGCGATAATGACCGAACGTGTAAGGCTCCACCTTGGCATCTGGAATGCCAGGAAAACGCAGGCACGACTGTTTCGGGACTGCAGGCGAAGCCTTAGGCTTAGCAGTTTTTTTGGCAGGCGAAGGCGTCTTCGGCGCGGGCTTGGACTTGGGCTTGGGCTGGGTCGCGGTCTTGGCTGCCTTGCCCTTGCCCTTGCCCTTGCCCTTGCCCTTGCCCTTGCCCCTGCCCCTGCCCTTGCCCTTGCCCCTGCCGCCACGGCCCTTGCCGTTGCCGCCTCCAGCGCCACCCACTCCCTGTGCGCCAGCCTGCGTCTCTGCCTGGTCGTCGTCGCTGGCCTCCTCCATGGCCTTCTCGTACGTGCGCTTCGCGTCCTTCAGCAACTGTCGCAACTCGCTGGCCTGGCCCCTGGCGCCGAGCTGCCCCGTTGCCGCCCCGGGCGCCCCCAGCGGAGCGGGCGCCCGCGGGACCGCCGCCGCTGCAGGCGTCGGCGGAGCGGGCCCTGCTGGAGCGGGCGCGTCGGTGAGCGCCAGGGGGGCGGCAGCGGCGGCCAGAGCCTGCAGGGGGGCGGCAGCGGCGGCCCCGGGAGCCTGGGGGGCGGCAGCGGCGGCCCCGGGAGCGCCGCCAGCGGCGGCCCCGGGAGCGGCGCTGGCCGACTCCGCTGGCCACACTGCCTCTGGCGGCGCTGGGGGCGCCAGCAGTGGAGGCGCGGCTGCGCTCACTGGCGGCGGCGGGGCCAAGTTTGCTGGCGGCGCGGCCGCAACCTGCTGCCTCGGGGTGATCACCAGCCCAGGGATGCCGCCGTTGGGGAGCCCGCCGCTCATCTGGTTCGCGATGGCCTCTAGGATGGATCGCAAAAGCCTCCGCCTCCTCCTCCTCCTCCGCCTTCTTTTTCCTTTCTCCTCCTAATCCTTTTCCCCCTCCTCTCTTATTTCCCGCCTCCCCGTCTTTCCCCCGCCGCCTCCCCCCTCCCCCGACGACGACGTCGAGGTCCCCTGCAATCTAATGGGGAGGAGGGGAGTGAGCGCCTGCCTCGACAGGTGGCGACGTTCGTGTGCCCCGACAGGGACCACGACTTGCAACCGCAACCGCACCAGGCGTTTGCGTTACCGCAACCGCAATCGGGCCTTAAGTCGTCGTCGTCGCGGGCCGAACGAAGGGGGGGAGGAGGACGAGGAGGAGAGGCGGGCGGGAGAGGGGGGGGGCAGGACAAGCTAGGATGAAGGAAACTGAGGATATAGGATTTCTTACCCGCGCACCTGCATCACCATACCGATGTTCATATCCATGCTCATGGAGCTCGTCGACCAACGGCGGGATTCCGAAATCGACGAGTTGGTCGTCCGGGCAGGGGCTTGGCGCCGAAGAACTGACAGCTCGGCCGCGTTCAGCGGCGAAGGGTGCACGGGTTGCTGATCTGCAGGAAACGCGAAATCGTGGAGCGCCTGGCTGAGGCGGGCCAAGTCGCCTGGACTCGCAGGGTAATCGTCGAGGCCTGCAGGCACGCCCATCGTCGGCGCCGAACTCCTTCGTCTCCTAAGCACATCCCGAAGCTGGTTGAGAATTGCCAGCGCCGTGGCAGGCTGCAACTGCAGCGGCTGCCCGATCGGAGAGCTACCCCTCACCACTATGCACACCGCGTGCTTCTTCGTGGTCTCGCACGGATTCAAGATCCTGAGGTTGATCATGCGGTTGGCCACGAGCTCGAGCTTGTGCCGCGTGGTGTGTGAAGTGCTGAGGAGCGCATCCCACTCAGGCTGCGTGAAGTAGTTCCCCAAAAACAGGTTCGTCTGGTTCTTGGCGCGATCGCCTCGAGCGATTCCTGCCACCTTGGCGTTCACAGCGGCCTGCAGCGCCGTCTTGATCGCAGCGGGGAAGTGGCTGCCCTGCAGCGCGTCCAAACAGCCGATGGCCTGAGTCGTCGGGATGCTGCGGCATAGCGTTAGCGAGTTTGCCAACCTCGTCCGCTGCGACTCCGCGAGCCTGGCGAAGTCCGCAGACTCTGGAGCCATGCCCCCCTGGACGTTGATGTCCAAGAACTGGCACGCAGCCGCAAACTCTGCGAGTGCCATCCTGCTGGAAAGCTAAACACACAGAAATACAAATCTGGCGCGCGAGAGGCCGACGCAGAGACACTCGAGCCAAAATGGGCTATGGGGGGAGGGGCGGCAGCAGCAGCGGCAACAGGAGCAGAAGGAGGCGGAGGCTTGCTTGCGCACAGGCTTAAACATTTCCCGAACAGCGCTCGCACTTCGAATTGAACGTGGACTTGCACCTGACCCCTGGCATTTCCAACCAGAGCTTGCACTCAGTCGTCTCTGCGTTACTCCAAACAGTGCTTGCACGTCGGACCTTCTGTTTGTTGCCCCAACAGCGCGCGCACTTAGGGTCGATTGTTTTCCCGAGAGCGCTGGCAATGAGTCTTGAAGAGCGCTGGCATATCTCCAAACAGCGCTTGCACTCGTGTTTACATGCTTGTTGTTATTCCGCACGCCCTCTGCCCAGGGGCCGCCCCGGGGCCGTCTCGGAAGCCGCTGGAACGCGCGGTCGGCCCTCCAACGGCACGAAGTTGAACTCCCCGGGGGTCTGGGGGCGTCTCCCGGGCGCCTCTCGAGTCGCCCTGAATGGCTGGAGCAGGCGAAGGGGACGGGGGGGGGCCTAGCGTGGAGGAGGAGGCGGGGGAGGACCTTAAGAGACATATTCATTCAAGCGCAGATCGTCGCACACCCCTGCGAGTCACACAAAATCGCATGCCGCCTGGTCCTGCGAGTGCGTGCGCCCTCGCACGTGTATAGCGCGGCCAACGCGCGATACGTCTGTGTTCGCAGACCAGCCAGGGCTCCCCAACATGAGATTCAACGCATCATGAGAAAGCGGGGCGATCCTCCGCCGAGGCCATTGGGATTAAAAGCACTCAAACAAAAAATCGAAGGGAGAGCAACTTCCCATGGCCTCGTCCTCTGAAACTCGCGAGCTCTGGGCTGCGGCGTTGAGTGTATATATGCATATGTTCATATATATGTGCGTGTATGTGTATGTGCGTGCGTGCGCGTGTGCGCGTGCGTGCGCGTGTGACCCGATCTGTATATATATGTATATATATATATGTACTAACTGTGTTTACTTCTAGCGCGGGTGGCGGGGGTGGGGGCGCCGTCTGAGATTCTCAATCTTCCATCGTTGCTGATGCAGAGCATCGCTGGGATGATCAAGTGCATGTCATCATGCGACGACGCCCCCGCCCCCCTCATCATCGAGATGGCACCCGCCCACAACGCAACCCTACTGAGAAGCGCCGTCGCCAACTGGCGAGAAAAACATGTCAAGAGTGCGCTCGCCGCGCCCTGGGCCCTTCCCGGCCTTCTTCGGAGGGCTCCTCCGGGCGTCCGAGGGGGGGGCCAGACGGTGAGCAACCCGCTCGGCGGTGGACAGTGGCTCGGGCTGCCGAGCAGGGATATTGCCGTGCCCAGCGCCGTCGCCGCCAGAGGCGAGATGCTGGAGCATAGGCTGGACCGCAGCGATCACCAACGGGACTGGGCACGCATTGCCCGCGGCCTGGACGGCGAGACCCTCGCTTGACAAATGCTGCACAGTGTTCGGCGCAAAACCCTGGAGGCCGAACCTCTCCGCAGGCGTGAGCCAGCGGCACATGGTGCGCTGCCCGTATGGCAATGAAAGGTCACCGATGCGCACCACGAAAAGATACCTGTTCTTTGTCGTGAGACATGGTGCGCAATTGTGCGTAATCGGCGCAGCATACACGCTGGCCAAGCGGCGATCGAGGCCGAAGCAAACCACGTCGTCGTCGACGACCTCTCCGCTAGCGCCCGATGGCGCCCCCAGGCCTCAAAGCAGGCCCCCTGGTGCGCCACTAGGATATGTCCATATCCACTGCCGCGGGGTCGTACCCCAAGGAATCGAGGAGCGATGGATATGGATATCTGGCCGCCCATGCGGGCGGACAGATATCCATATCCACCACTCCTCGAGATCCCAGGGCACGACTCCGAAGCGGTGGATATGGATATGTTCTGGCGGTGGACCTGGAGGGGGAGGGGGGATGTAGGAGGAGGAGGAGGAGGGTATAGGATTGCTTGGTATCGTTGGGCCCTCAGTCGTCACCGTCGTCGTCGTCGTCGCCATGGGGGCGGATAAAGCCGCAGGCGAAACAATCCCCTAAATTTCAGCTGAAGCAACCTACGCTCGTACTCAGAAAGATTCTTCCTCATCTGATCCGTGAGGGAGTCCCGGGGCGTCGGCGGCAGGCCGCGGGCCAGGAAATCTACGAGCTTCCTTTCACCAAACGGTGGAAGTGGCATCGGAATCTTCGAACCCCTTGTCCTCAGCCCACGAAGAAACACGCGATGGCGGTCCTGGGCCAGGCCGTAGTCCTGCGGACTCCCCCCCGCGTGTGCCCTCCTCCTCCTCCTCCCTCTCCTCCTCCCCCTCCTCCATCCGTCTCACCTCCTCCCCCTCCTCCTCCTCCTCCCTCTCCTCCTCCCCCTCCTCCTCCTCCTCCTCCCTCTCCTCCTCCCCCTCCCTCTCCTCCTCCTCCTCCCTCACCTCCTCCATCCGTCTCTCCCCCTCCTCCCCCTCCTCCCCCCCTGGTCGCAATGATCTCTGGTCCTGGATCCGATTTTGACGGCCCGGGCCCCCTCCCTGGTTGAAGTGATTTCTGGTCCTGGATCCGATTTTGACGGCCCGGGGTGGAACTTCAAACGCAACTGTCCTTTGCAACCATCTCCTGGGAGTCCCAGACCATCTCGGAGACCTCGTCCCGGAGCACGGCCAGGAGGCTGTCCATGAAGCACGTGGAGTCCCCATGCTTCTGGAGGATGCCTGCGGGGGGCCAGGGGGGCGGCGCCGCGGGCAGGGGGTCGGGGGGCCGAGACGGGCGAGGACAGGCGAGGAGGGGAGAGGGGCGAGGAGGGAGGAGGAAGATGAGGAGGGGGGAAGGAGAAGGAGGAGGATGAGATGGGGGGAGGATACCCCTATAGCCCTGTAGCCCTATACTCCCGTAGCCCTATATAGCCCTATACCCTTATATCCTGATACCCCTATAGCCTGATACCCCTATAGCCCTATACCTTGCGGCCCTATAGCCTATATAGCCCTGTAGTTCTATACTCCTGTAGCCATATTAACCCTATACCCTGTAGCCCTATAGCCCTATCCTATATGCCCTATGGCCCTCCTATGCTCTATGACCCTGTAGCCCTATAGCCATATAGCCTGATACCCCATATAGCCTGATACCCCTCTAGCCCTATACCGCGTGGCCCTATAGCCTATAGCCCTGTAGCCCTATACTGCTGTGGCCCTATATAGCCCTATACCCTGTAGCCCTATGGCCCTATGGCCTTATCGCCTACTATAGCCCTCCTATGCCCCATGCCCCTGTAGCCCTATAGCCCTATAGCCTTATCGCTCTACACTCTACACGTGCCCCATGGCCCAATTGCCCTACAGCCCTACAGACTCATGGCCTACATCGACCCCGACAGCCCATATACCAGGGTAGGGGGGGGGGGCAGGGCGAGGGTTGAGCAACCCTGCAAGCCCTTGACGTTCTCCAAGCACGCCAGGTTGAGGCAACCGTCCTTCACGAAGAACACCTCTCACGACGACGACGACGACGACCGCCACGACGACGATTTCGACGGCGACGGACCGTGATCTTGATGACGTGCACGAAGACGTCCGAGCGGGCGTCCCACCGCCCCGCCCGCTTGCCCTGGCCGCTCCAGGGCGGGCAAGGGGGGCCGCTAATGATCGCGTCCACGGGCCCCTTCAGGTCCCTGATCCGAGCGCGCAGGACGCCCCCGTACACGGGGCCCAGCTGCGCCACCTTGGGGCCCAGCTTGTCGTCCTCTGGGCGCGCTGGTCGTCGTCGTCGTCGTCGGGGTCGTCGGTGAGGGGGGCGAGGGAAGGGAATGGTGGGGATTGGAAGGAGGAGAAGGAGGAGGAGGAGGAGGAGGAGGAGCAGCAGCAGCAGCAACAGCAGCAGAAGAAGGGGAGGGAGGGCCCCCCGGGGCCGCGGCGCGCGGGCTCGACGACGACGACGACGACGTCGGCGGCGGCGGCGACGACGACGATGCCCCGAGGGCCCATCCTGGGCTCTTGAAACTCACTCGGGGCTTGGGGCCAGTGGAGCTCCCCTGGGACTGCCCTGTTGTCCCCTCTCACCCTAATTTTGTATGCCGATGTCCAGCAGAGAGCGGTACCCTGCCTCAAGGTCTGTCACGTACTTCGGAACGACGTTGATGCCGAGCGCCCGCAGAGCGTCCCCTGCGGGAGCGAGGGGCCCTCCAACTCCTCTTCTGTCATCCTCCTCCCCCTCGTACTCCTCCTCATCCTCCCCCTCCTCCTCCCCCTAGCGTCGAGAGGGCCCCAGCGGGGCCGCGGGGGGGATCGGCCCGGGGAACCTGCTCCATCAATCCCCACGCACGGCAGGGCGACCACGAGGGGGCGCCCGAACGACGGGTTGAGGCTCACGTGCTCCACCAGCAGGGGGAGGGTCGGAGTGGCCCGGGCGAAGACGATGTTCTTCCGCCGCCACTCGGCCTCCTAGGAGGGCGGGGGTATCACGCCTCCTCCCCCTCCTCCTCCTCCTTCACCTTCTCCTCCTTCCCCCTCTTCCCCTTCTCGTCGTCCTCCTCCTCCTCCTCCTCCTCCTCCTCGCCCGCCCCCTCCCAATCCCTCCTCCCCTATCCTCCTCATCCTCCCCCTCCCCCTCCTCCCCTTCCTCCTCTCCTCGTCGTCGTCGCGGCCGTCTTAGGAGGGCCCCGGGCCCCTTTTACCTCGGGACCCCTCCCCCCGAAAGCAAGCCGTCGTCGCCGTCGTCGTCGCTGCAGTCCTGCGCCGCGGTCTTGGACGCAGCGGGCATCTCGACAAGGAGCAAGGGCTATGGTCGGATAGCTGGGGACGAGCCTCCACCGACTGAGCCTAAACGACGGCGACGATGACGACGACGACGACGAGGCCCGCTCCGGGCTCAGCTGCGCCGCCGCCGACGACGACGACGGCGACGACGACCCTCGCCGCCGCGGCTGGACGCAGCGCGGGACACTGGTCAACATGGACCCGCCTCGAGCGTCGATCCCCGGGGTTCGAGGTTCCACTTTCGACGTGAACACGAAGGCCGCTCGAGGAGGAGGAGGAGGAGGAGGAAGGAGGAAGAGGAGGAGGGGGGGGTGAGGGCGAGGACGAGGAATGCGAGGAGGACGAGAAAGAGGACGACGACAAGGACGACGACGACCTCCAACGACGACGACGTCGCGGACGACGACGACGACGACGACGACGACGACGACGACGTTCTGTCGACGACGAGGACGCCGGACTGCGCGGCGGCGGCGGCGGCGGCAGCAGCGTCGGCGACGAGACCTCCGACTCGGGCGAGGGCCCCCCCAGCCCGCCGACGCAGGCGAGGGCGGCGGCGGCGAGGCCCCCCCAGCCCTCGGAGGCGAGCAAGGGCAGAGGGTATCCGTGAGGTGTCCGGGAGGGTATCCGTGAGGTGTCCGGAGGGTATCCGTGAGGTGTCCGGAGCTTTTGCTTCCGAGGGCCTCCCGAGACACAAAAGCTCCGGACACCTCACGGATACCCTCCGGACACCTCACGGATACCCTCCCGGACACCTCACGGATACCCTCTGCCCTTGCTCGCCTCCGAGGGCTGGGGGGGCCTCGCCGCCGCCGCCCTCGCCTGCGTCGGCGGGCTGGGGGGGCCCTCGCCCGAGTCGGAGGTCTCGTCGCCGACGCTGCTGCCGCCGCCGCCGCCGCCGCGCGTCGGCGTCGTCGTCGTTATGGTCGAAGTCGTCGTCCGTCGTCTCGTCGACGTAGTCGTCGTCAAGGTCGTTCGACGTCGTTCGTCGTCGGTCGTCGTCGCCGCCCATCTCGACAGCGCGCGACGACGACGGCGGCGGCGGCGGCGACGACGACGACGAATACGCCGACGCCGACGCCGACGACAACGACGGCGACGACGACGACGACACCGACGGCGACGACGACGAGGCGACGTGGCGACGACGACGACGACGACTAAGACTAAGACCTTGAACGACGACGACGATCACGACGCCGACGGCGACGACGACGGCTACGGCGACGACGACGCCGACGGCGACAAGGACGAGGAGGAGGAGGACAACGCGATAAACCTTAGAGCGGCGCCCGCCCCCCCAGGCCGAGCGCCATGCCGTCGGCCTTTCGGCGATCACCGCGGGGCCCCCGGGGGGAGCAATCCACCGCCAGAACATATCCATATCCACCGCTTCGGAGTCGTGCCCTGGGATCCCGAGGAGTGGTGGATATGGATATCTGTCCGCCCGCATGGGCGGCCAGATATCCATATCCATCGCTCCTCGATTCCTTGGGGTACGACCCCGCGGCAGTGGATATGGACATATCCTAGTGGCGCAAGCAAGGGCGTCGTCGTCACAGCGGGCAGGGGGAGGTAGCGAACCGTTCTCAGACTCCACGAGACCGAAACTGCACATGCATGTCCACCGTGCGCGTGCGAGGGGCACACGAAACTATGCACGCCCACGTGCGCGCGCGCGGGAAGGGGGGGGGCCGTCGCCTCAGGTTCTCGATCCTCCACATTGCGAATGCTGAACGCATCGCTGGGATGAACAGGTAGCTTTTATTTCATCATGCGACGACTTATGGCCCCCCCCCCTCAAACAAAATGCGATGACCGCGGGGCTCGGCAAGAACGCGTGGTCGCCTTCTCCTCCTCCCCCTCCTCCTCCTCCTCCTCCTCCTCCTCCGTTAGCCTCCTACGCCGCAGAATACACGGCCGAGGCGGGCACGGCGGGCCTGATGCCCTGAGCCGTTGCAACATGGGCAACAGTGTGAACAAAATCTGTCGGGGCCATGATGCTCGGCGTGAGATCTGCTGGCGGAGCGTGCGCGCCTCCGCCGACGCCGAGCAGATATTCCACGCACGCGAAGAATTGTTCGTCGACAGAAATGAAGCATGCTGCCCTACAAAAAAGGCCCCCCCTGCACAAGAGAACGTCCCCCTTACAAACGAGGCCTATCTCAGTGTACATTGCGTTGCTCACTCGCACCGAGCCTGGGTCCACGCATCCCAGCGCCGCTGCCAACCTTTCGTGGGAAGGGGGGGTGGGGCCTAACATTGCCCTTATCGGCCCTCCGGGGGGGGGGGGGGCCCTCCCCCTCCCCTGCCCCCCCGGGCAGGGGAGGGGGCGTGGGAGGTGGGAGAGGGCAGGAGGCGAAGAGAGAAGGAGGCGGAAAAGGGGGATGAAGGTGAGGGGGGGAGGCAGGGGAGCGGGGGGGAATCGCAGGGGGCCCCCCCTCTTCCCCAGGGGGGAGGAGGGGGGCGATGAGGAGAGGAGGAGGAGGAGGAGGAGGAGGGGGAGGAG